ACTTGCCTTAGTCATGTATTAACCTATTTTATACAAAAAATAATATCTTAAAATAATAATATTTTAAAAAAAGCAAGGTTTTGATATATCAATGGGAAGTTTGAAATATTAATCATATAATGCAAACTATGATGTTAAAAATGTGTCCATAATAATAATTATTATTTTATAATACTTCAGTTACTACTTTAAAATCTCTTCTTCACTGAGTTTCCTCCACTTTAGTCATTGGCTGGTTTTGGAACTGTCTTTATAAATTCCAACCATGTTGGCCTTTACCTTGAACGATGCATTCAAGAGGTGCAGTGATTCTGACAAAAAGGTAAATAAAAAAAAGCAAAAATAATTTTAAAATTTATTCATGAGCACAACAATACCAGTTTTTTTTTAAAGTTATTGGACATTTCAGTGCCAATGACTCCATTTTAACAAACAATCAAGAAGTGTAAAATTGTTCAGTTTGCATTTAATTTAATGCCTACATGTATAGTGTTGATGAGTAATTTGTAATCTGTAATTTGATCAATAGTTTGTGTTGTTGTTATTGTTGTTGCAAGAACATTCGCCCACTTATTAAACTGTTCATCTTTAGTTKGAGGTTAGCTATTTATGCAGTTAGGAGCGCAGTTAGGATCTAACTGCGATCCTAACTGCATAGTTAGCTTATCTCTACCTTTGAACAAATCCTACAAAGCAGCGCGTCGGTGATTGCCCCCGATGAGTTCGAGCTGGTAGGAATCGATCGAATCCATGTCGAAATCTTCCACTGATTTCAAGCCAGTGACGATTGCCGTCAAAGGATTGACAAAGAGAGCTTAAAGTAACAGTTGTGTAAAAAGATAAGAGAGCTTTGTTGTCTTGAAACTCCTTTGTCTAGCCTTTGACAATAAACACATCGTAATGTATCAAACCTATGATAGTCGATAATTCTATATATAAGTTCTAGACTTATCTGAAAATTATCCTGAATATGTCTTCTAAGCCACTAAAAAGCCCTTGATTTCAAATGACCGTTACTCAAACGGTAGTGTTGCTGAATTTAATACCGCTGTCCTTGTTGTACCAGTCACTGTTGTCTCGCCAGGAACGTTACTCATTAATGGGATTAAAATCACTTAGTGATCAGGTTCTTTCTCCATGTAACAGACCCAATTTTTCCTTCCCAGATGTTCCTAATACCAAGACTTAACTCACATACCTTTAAGACCAGCTTACGCCCAAAATCCTTAAACCCCCTCCTCAAATGRCTAATACCAGTCTTACGAATTCAGCGACTACTTGTAAATTAATTTATGAATCAAATATACCAAGGTAGCTTGCCAGGACACTGGGGCACATTGGAGTACACAGGTATACCAATAAACAAACCAAGGTAGCTTGCTAGGACACTAGGACACTTTGGAGTACACATGTATACCAATAAATAAACCAAGGTAGCTCGCTAGGACACTAGGACACATTGGATTACACAGGTATACCAATATAACAAAACTATGCACATGCGCAGTTATGGTCGAGTTGAAAAGAGAAGAATTCTAAAAGCTAAAAAACGGCTAAAAGAAGCTGATCAATGAGTCCATCAACGAAGAATTGCCCAAGGTCTATCACAAAAACTGCAAATATAAGGATTCTCAATTATGGAAATATAAGTTTCAAGTTAAGCTTGCTTAACTCTGGCTTAACTGTCTACCATAAAGTCGGAATACGAAAAACAGTTGTCGTACCACCGACTCGGAGCTTTTGTCTTTCAACCTCATGGTAGGAGGAAAGAAACCCATTCATCTGCGATTGTTGCAAGTGTGATGATTGTAAAATATTCAATTTGTTAATTAAAATTTGTTTRATTCTTTSCGTCKGTGATCTGCTCGTGCTGTTTAAACTTATAAGACTTATTTGAACGTAACGTTTTTGCTATTAGATATTTAAGCTTAATATTAGCTTATCCGAGCCCGTTAAATCACCTAGTGTCTGTTKGAAGTTGACTTTTAACAATTTTCCAAGGTTCTTGTTATGAGAGCACTGTATTGCTGTGCTTATTCAGAGGTATTATCGCTCTGATCGTGCACCTTTCCACAGCATTTTGACTCCTGAATTTGGCATAATTTAAGTTATATTTGCAGAAATTCTTATGATAATTTCACTGTTAGGAGTTTTTAAATACTGGATCAATTAAGTAAAACTTATATTTGATGTCTATTGTATTCCAGCCATAGTGGATGTATTTTACTCCATGAAACTACCATATTTATTTTAAAAATCCATTTGCACTATTCCATTTCAACATCAAGTCATAACTTCTTAATAAACTGAACTGTGATGCACAAATCAAACAATATGAATACAAGCGAAAGTAATTCAAAGGTTAGCTTTTATTGAAATGCTTTATGAACATATGATTATTAAAACATTACGCATGAATAGTATAGTATTGTATTTAGATAACTTGTCATCTAGAGTGAACACACACTTAAAGCATAAAATAGTACTAATAATATAATGCAAAATAGCACTAATCAGACCAAACAAAAGTATTTTCATGATTTACTGCTATGTCATGCTTCAAACTGTGCATTAAAGCTACCGCATTCCTTTATTCCTTTATCCAAACAAGATCAAAATTAATAGAATGTCAAGTAATAGGCTCTGGCTGACCTGCCAGATGACTGGGGAAATATACAAAATAATATACGAATATATTGCTTTGGAATTATGGAAATATTTATTTCCAACTGTAACTATTTTGGTATGCTCCAACTTATGGTCAACAGCTATTACAAATCCAGAAATTCTTACACTGTCCATTTCTGCTTTGTGGAAGACAACTTGTTTACAATGAAATAAACACATTTTTATCCTATATGTTGGGCGATACCGATTTAAAAACATTATAATACTACATAAATACTGTTTATGTATTTACAAATTGCTTTTACAACTGTATATAATTTTTGTGTTGATAGTAGGGATTGTCACAGCATTATTAAATCACAGAACCAACAATATAGTTTTATAGTTCTTTCTTTGTTTGTCTATCAGTTGTACTATAATACACACCCATTTTAAAAAAGTTTGTGGTGGAGAACTGGAGATTGCAGAACTGAAAACATTACTGTGCTTGTTGACCAAATTTCAAAAAAAAGCATGTCTTAGACAAAAATGTTTTCAGTAGCTCTCTTGAAACTTATATGTACCAGAAAGACAAAAATCATTTTATGTACACATTTCCATTTCCATACTTTTCAAAATAAAGGGCCAAGCAATCACAAATTCCTTTTTTAAATGTCTAATTGTTGATATTTTCATTAGCAATTTGTTGATCCTCTTGCTTCTGATTTAGTTATGTTGTTYATTAGTGTATGAAAACTATAAAAAACAAGAGTTATTGTTTACCATTTACTACAMTGAAGAAAAACTCTTTCAGCTCTTCATAGTTAGGGTTTAAGCTTAACAACTTACTGAGCAAAGAATCAGAAAGTTTGTCATCCCTGGTGTTGAACTGATGTTCGTACAGATCTGCTGTTATTGTGGTTTTAAACAGCTCCCTAGCCACCGTTTCGCTTTCCATGTCGCTCCGTCGTCTTTTCAGGAAGACCTTTACTTGTCTTGGACCATCCAAGACAACACCAGCTTCGGCTTTTTCCAGGGTCTGCATTGCCTCCAAAACGTCACTACCTAATGGCCTCTGGCTGCATGGAATTGCGCGTGTGACATTTCTTACAGTGACGCAGGGACCTGGATGGGACAGGATTATGGACCTCAGGGATGGACCATTTAAAGCTTGAGGCTGTAGGTACCCTTTTGCTGCCTATACAAATACAAATAAAGATCTTATCAATATTGTGGTCATACTCTTAGAAAACGTACTTGTTAAGGTTTACTGAGAATGTGTTTTCGATGTATAGTTGTTCGAGTCTATAAAAGCAGTTTATTTAGCTACAGTGTATCACTTAGTCTTTATGACATACTGCTGTACATATTGACTGCTTTTGTTGTTAAATCATTCCCCATTA